ATTCGGACATAAATGCCGTGTACTTTCTAGAGTCTTCATGTAGCTCGATCTGTAAATAAGCTGAACTCAGGTCAAGGGACGTGAAATATTTTGCTCCATGGAATCTTTGTAAGAGCTCATTCATGGGTGGGGTCCTCTCATGATCTGGGATAGTATATTGGTTCACTCGACGTGCATCAACGCATATGCGTATGTCACCGCTTGCCTTCTTCACTACCGTTAATGGATTAAAGATCGGGAAGGAGCTTAACTCAATGACCTCATCATCAAGCATCTGCTGTATCTGTTCTCTAACAGCTGGCCGCAGGGCGTACGGAATCGGCCTCGAATGACCTATTATAGGCCGGTCGGCGTCTCCGNAGGTGAAAAGTTTGCACTTCCCAGGACGCGTTGTCAGGTGCTCTCTGTACCGGAGTAGAACCTGGTACAGGGCATCTTGTTCAGCCGTGGACAAACTATCCACTTGCTCTACTAAGGAGCGCAGGTCTGCCGCTTGCAACGACCGGGGGTCTGGGAAAGGGGTTTTGGGGTCTGGGATGGGTTGACCGTGTAGCAGGGCGATCCCTACCGAATTCAATTCTAATTCAGTAGTGGGTGGGGCTTCCAGGCTAGCAGTAGCTCTGCTGCGGGGGCGGCCTTTACAAGCTGCCACACTTGCTGGAACACACTCTCCACGGGAGTTCAACTGACACCTCTTTGGGTCAGGATCCGGGAACTCCTGGTTCCTCTCCGGGTCAAGTGGTCCTGGTTCGATCCAAAGACCGGGCCTAGCGCCTTGGGTTGGCTCACTGCCTCTTACGGTTGGTTGGGTCTGGGATCTACTGCAGCAGTCAGCTGCTCTGGAAAGGGGAGGGGTTGTGTCATAGTCAGCTGATTGAGGGTTGGGTCGTTGACCTGTTGACTTGTCTCCTCTACAAGCGCCTTGCACTATGGCTCTGGTAGCGAATGTCCGTCCTCTGGTCTCGCCGTCACGGACATAGCTGAACATGTCCGAGCTGAAGTCGGTGGTAACTCCATGCTCTCTCAACAATTGACAACCTAAAATGGCGTCATTATTCAGCTGGGGTGAAACTAGGAAGATGGTCTCGAACACATCTTGGCCTATAGAAAATTCCACTAGGGCCTGCCGACAAATCCGCTTAGATCGCCTGCCGAACGCTGTTACGAGAACCACTCCCTCAACTGGTAGGGTGAGGATTTCTAAACCTGTCCCGATTAATTTCTCATAGGCGCGTTCCGACAGGAGGTTTACTTCACTGCCGGAATCGAGAATGACGGTGAACCTGCACTCTTTTGCTTTTATTTCGACTTGAGGACTGTTTGCTAGGTTACCCTCGTTTATGAACAATACTACATTGCCTGTAGTTTCCTCAAAGTCATTGTCACTAATTTCGTCATCAGAATCCCTCTCTCTACTGGGTTCGCCTGAGGTTCGGGGTTCGTTGGGTGGACCTTGGAATACGTGAGGTATCTTAACGGGAGTCATTCGGTCCTCCATAACTCCACTTAATGGTTTCCCGAATGATTGTCGTGAGGTCTGTCCTGTTCTTGTCTTCCCTGGTATGGAGGTGCGTTGGGGTTAAGGGGGCCGGAGCTTTCACCTGGGGATTCTCCGTCTCTCCCTGAATTGTGGTTCCTACGATTTCGTCTCCGATAGCCGTGTGATCGACCTCGGGACTGGGAAAACTGCACTTGGCGCACCTGCGTCTGGTTCTGACTTCTGTGGTCATTTCGATGCAGGTTGTTCCCTGGTCGATTGGGGTTGGAATTTTGGGATTGTGTGTGTGTCCTCTGATAATTTTCTGACTGCTCCATCAGCTCAACCCTTCGAAGAAGATCTAGAGCTTGTTCGATGGTCTGCAGCTGGTTGGTGAGCATGGCGCGCTGAACCCCCACCGGATAGTGTGCCCTCAGTGCCTCGATCAGGTCTACATCCGAAGGCCTTGGGTCTAGATAAGCTGCCATATTCACATGTTTAAGGAAGTGTCCACTTAGACTTAAACCGGATCGTCGATCGTACTTCGTCTGATATAGAGTACATTTAACTAAAGACTGCTTCGCTATGGACCACCAGACTTCCAAAAATGCCTTCTTGAACGCCTCGTAGTCGGGCAGTTTGTGTACTACAGCCTCGATCCACTGTTTGCTTAAGTGTCCCACCAGGGAACGGCACGCGATTGCCAAACAAAGTGACTTTGGAATGTTCCGAAAATGAATGAATTCGTCTAATGGCTTGAGGTGCAAAACAGGGTTCATTTCCGAAGCGTCGTCGAAGAGGGGTAAAGGCAGTTCCGAATTGTTGAGGTAACCCGACAGTGAAACATTTTCAGTAGTGGTGGCCTGCCTCACACAGACACCCGCACTGCTACTACTACTAGCTACTGTGTGGCAGGTGGTTGGCTGGTGAGTACAGCTAACTGTTTCACCGACCAATCCACTGCTTGTTTCAGTCCCTTCAGATCCTAGCGGAGGGTCACTAGTTGGTCCAGCAGAAGGAGACGGGGAGTTGTGGACTACCACACTCGCCTCTGTCGCTAAAGTTGGCCTGTCTGATGCTTCACTCAATTTGGATTCTATCCCCACCAACTTCGCGTTCAACTGCTCCAATTGGCGACCTACTTCTTGTGTGTTCGCCTGTGATAATTTTTCCAAACTCTCCTTCTGCCGTGCCATTTGAATTGAGACTTCCGATCGATGCTCTTGCATCTGATCGGCAAGTCCGTTTATTACTACCTGGGTGCTGACATTGGAGTGGTTTAGCCTAGTGTCGAACTCCGTACTGATGCTCTGCAGCTGTCTCTTTATGGGGTCTAACCTGGAATCGAACTCAGCGCCTATGTCCTTCAGTTGTCGCTTAACTGCGACAAGTTCGGTTGTGGTTTCGGTCTGAACCTGCGAAACCAGCTGAGACACCCGCCTAGCCTCCGATTCCAGCTTGCTATCGAATTCATTCCGGAGTCCTTGTGTCTGGGCCTCGAAAGTTTGGAGTAGCTTTTGGTTTTCCGATTTGATATCGGCTCTAACTTTCTCCTGGAAAATTTCTATTTTCTCCTGATTGGACTGCAGGTCAGTTTTCACACTATTTTGAACTGAATCAATTTTTCCTGATTTGAGTGTAGGTCAAGTTTCACACTATTCAAATCTGACTTCACACTATCTTGGTGGGCGCTCAACTCTGACTTAATGCTGGCAAAAAAACCTTGTAACATCTGCTGCAACTGGGTAGCACTGTCTAAACGGTCTAAACACACTAGGGGGTTGGGCTGGTTTTGCTGTATTGTTTCACTAGCCTGACCTGTCTTCCCTAACTCGACTTCTGGGGTCCGCATGTTGTGAGGTCCGAGCGTCTCACCCGCACTGCCTAATCCGAGCGGAGAATTACCTTAGTTGGTAGGATTATGCTCCCCTGCCGGTAGTTCCTGGTCCTCCTCGTGGGTCTCTACCGTTCGACTCCTGAGGGATTTGCTGGCCATTGTTTACAGTTCTTAGCTGACCTTGTCGCCGGCTGCTTTCGTTGTTGCTGTTGTTGTGCTGTGGCCGGAGCGGTCGAACCTGTAGGCTGAAGCTCCGTCCGTCTTTACCGGTGTCCTTCTTGGCGTTGGGTCTTGTTGCGCTTCTCCTCTTAATCCCGCCTTTGCAGAGACGTCAAGCCACGCGTTGGCTGCGCCACCCTTTTGCCGCCCTCCTCTTTTTCTTCTGTCGTCGTTACCGCTCAGTGAGACTTCAAGCCTCTCGAGTTGGTCGTCACTTATTACCATCCTTCACGTCCGCCCCTTTGTGGTCTGCACTTGTATCCGCCGCTTCCTGTTGCTTTCTGGTTCAGGGTAAGGAGTGGGATTATTCTGAATTTGGATTTGTGTGGGCGCCAGTGGACTTGGATGACATCCACGAGTTTTTAATGGGGAAAACAAAGGTGGGGATTTGGATGGGGGGGGACGTTTGGGGTTCCGACTGCTCAGACGGCAGGACGAGATTCTGTCTCAGGGCGACTAATGGGCCTTGCTCACACAGGGAGAGAGAAAACACTGAAAAACACACCCTTCACCAACACTGTTGCGTTTATTGTAGATGTTCACTACAATTACCTATTACCCGGCTGTAGCACTTTGAATTGTACACTGGACTCGGGCCAACACCGATTTAACGTCCGGGAGGTTACTACTGACTCCGGTTATTCCCTTTGGCTAATCACTCCCGCTATTTCCTTCTGATGACTGACTGCTCTGGAGAGGCAGAAGTCCCGACGGTTCTGGGAACGCCTGGATTCCTCTCCTCCGAAATTTTGCTGATTGGCTGAACCTCAAATTTGGGTGTTTCTTTCATTTGCATTCAGCCAATCCCTAACCAGATCCATGTTAATTTGGGCCTAAGTACAACACGATCCCTCTGACAGCTCTTAAATAAATGGAGGTACGCTAACAATCGCTCGGTACGCCCTTCGAAAATTATTGCGACTCGTTTCTGTCAAGTCTCAAATTTTCAAAGACTCGAACCGTCAAAGTTAAGCACTGAAATCCCAAGAAAACACAGCGGGATACTTCCTGCTCCATTCTGGGTTTTCAAGTGACCTGCAGCTTGCTTGTCCCTCAGAAAGACCAGATGTTGTCCTTGGCATCTGCTGGTGTTGGGGTCAATTCTGTATCATCTATTGTTAACAGTAGTACATTTCGTTTCCATGTAGTGCATTGTAATTAACAATGTAAATGAAAAACATTCCTGAGGTCCCTGCATGGTGCGGTTACACATATGTGGATGACTAGAAAGTTTATCAAGATGGACAATTGGTCTTAAACACCTTACCAAAAACAAGGAAGGTGTGGCTGGACAGATCGATATTAGATTAAACCCTTTAGTTAGGAATTTGACTTACACTAAATTTTCTAGCATGCTGGTGTAACAGTGACTTTAGATTATGAAAATTAAATGGTCAGAAGTGAATCTTTTCCTATGTCATTAAAATGTATTCTCCAAATAACATAATGTTTTTAATTTGTTTACAGTTATATCAGATTGCACAAATGAACAAAGAGAATATGACCAAGCTCTGAAAAACGGGACACTGGGGTTTACACAAGTGCGACCCCTGTGTGATGAGAAGGGGGATTACCTACCAGCTCATTGCATTGGTGGCTCAATGTGAGTGAGAATTCCTAGTTCCAAACATTTTTGATTATTGAATAACTGTAAATATATCTATGGTGTCACGTCCCAAAAGATAGCAGTACTCTTCATATTGGTGGTTTACATATTGCATTCAATATTTTCTGGGTTATAAGGCCAATAGACAAGCAACATATATGTATTTTATTTTTGTACTTGGTTGACATGTGATGGTAAACCGTTGTCTATATTGCTTTGATAACTCCTCAGTGCCATTAAGGTTACACAATATGTCAGGACCTCAGTTACGCACTGACATAGTCATTATGTCAGTAGTGTCATTAATTTTGGACATTTTTTGTGTAATCAGTTTTTAAGATATTCAGCGAGTGTTTGGTACACTTTGAAACATTAATATCTGAAGAAGACTCTCTTCTTATACCAGACTACTTGGCGTCACATCCCAGAAGATAGTACACTGCATAGTCACTGCAATGATGATCATGAATCTCTCATGCATGTATGGTCTCTACAGTGCATTTTTTATAATAACTGATAATGGTATGGAAAGTTAAATATCCCACTGTTCTTTCACAGACCAAGTATTCTAACCTACTGGTAAGTGCTGTACTGCATGGCCTGACTGATTCGTACTTTTGTATTGTACAGATTTGCAGCTGCATGCAATCAAGACATTATACTCATGTGTCAGAACTGTCACTGACCTTTGTCATATTTGTATACAGTCAATGCATAAAATAGATTTTGAGGGAAGAGAGGTTCTGTTCCTAGATGTCATCACACATGTATTTATACAGCTTGATACATAATTGCTCTTATGTCATCATAGGCCTGGTCTTATATAGCTTAAATCATTCCAAGGAAGAATATTGTATTTAAGCGTACTGTTGCATTAATATATAATTTGTTTCACATATATTTCCGTCTTAAATACAACTTATTATCTAGTCGCCCTTCTTCATCACTGCATGTTTCGGCTATATTTGGTCAACAAAAGGTGTCCTTTATCTTGTTAAAATTTGTGTATTGTATGTCAACATTTTGTATTGCACATTTCCTGATTAAAATAAATTGACCTTAATTAAAATTAAATAACATCCAAATGTATTTCTTGTGGTCATTATTCATTCATTTAGAAGATATTTGCATAAGCACCTTTTGTTTCTGATTTATTTGCACGGCATTCCCAATTGTGGTGTGGATATTATCTGTAATGTGTAATAATATGTTGTGTTATGTAATTTTATTATTAGATTTGTAAGTGTTGATGTTGTTTATAATTGTACTTAAATTGGGATGTTCATAAATTTTAATTAAGGTCAATTTATTTTAATCCGGAAATGTCACATTCACATGCAATATGAAATTTTGATATACAGTGTAACGATTTTAGCAAGATTAAAGACACCTGATGATGGCTGTATGTGACCAAAAGATGCAGTGAGGAAGAAGAGTGACTAGATAAAAAGTTGCATTTAAGGTGGAAATATATGTGAAATGTTTCCAAGAAAGATACAGATATTTCTTGTATGACAGTACTATTATCTACACTGTATAATGTTGAATAGTAGGACGACTGATGAGTGATGAATTGGAAAAGATTTGGAAGGGAGTAGTTGTGTCCTAATTGAGGAACACTGTACCAGGATAATTTGTTATTCATTCAAAACAACAGATCAAATTTTAGTTAACAGATTTCTAACTGTAGTGAACTGACTGCCTCTGTGGTCTAGTGGTCAGAGTTCCTTGCTACAGATCCAGAGGTCCTGGGTTTGATTCTCAGTGCTACCAGATTTTCTGAGAAGTGGTGGGTCTGGAACGGGGTTCACTCAGCCTCATGAGGACAATTGAGGAGCTACTTGATTGGAAATGTAGCTGCTCTGGTCTAGAAAACTGAGGTTAACAGCCATGGGGATCTGTTGCGCTGACCACGCGACACCCTCTATCCGCAAAAGTTGACACTAACTTCGCCAACAAGCAGCAGTTGTGCGGTCGGTATAGTTCACTTGCAGACTGAAGGCCATGGAGTTTGTTTTTGTAAGGAATTACTAGACATATGGCCTGAGTTAAGTTCCTTATCCCATACATACACAGAAACACTCATCAGTATACACCGCATGTTAGAAATCTTGGTACAGCCCCAGAAAAGTCAAGAATTGTAAAAATGTGTGTTTTCCATTGAATCCATAGGAAGAAAATAGGATTTTACCACTAATTTGACCCTGAATGTTTAAATATCCAATTGTTAGTGCATTTTTTGTTGCAGTTGTTATTGTGTTAATCCTCAAGGGGAAAGAATATTTGGAGAACAAGTATATTCGGCTTCCAGCCTGCAAGAGACTATGACTTGCGGTATGTAGAACCTATTCTTATAATTAGGCCTGAGTAGGGCTAGGATTTATTGCAGTACTCACTTGAAGTGAGATGGTATGTGATGGAATGCCATTGATATTTTCTTTTCTGAGCTGTATTCTACATATTTTATTTCTGTCCTTGTAAGGTATTGTTATTATCACTGCAAATTGTATAATACTACAAATGCCATGTTTAGCTCATAAATATTAAATAATAAAAGAGCATAAACATTTCTAATTGTACCCAGGCAAGCCACGTAATCTGTTTTGTTGTCACTGTTAATTTAATTTACCAACCAAGTAAGGCTCAATGAGTGTAAATGAAAGCAGGAATGAATGAAAAAATAAATCATAACCAAGAAGATAAAATAATTATATACTAGTAATTAAATTGTACTCACTGGAAGAATATTTTTATCTATGTTGTCGTCCCGCTTGCCGTTTTTGACTGTATTTTACTGTATTCACAAGTCTCCATATGGGGATCTATGGATCTATGAATGTATGACTGGAGATTGCTTGCTTTTACTTTTACTTATTTTACTTACATATTTTATAACCTTTAACGATGTCCTCATTGACATGGTTTTTGACAAAATACTCAAATTGTGATGCATGAGTATAATTAACTTGTATCTACATAATTTATAATCTTATTACTTATTAGCGATGTACTCATCGGAATTCTTCCTGTTAACAGGCTCAAATTGTGTTGCATAAGTACATTTAACTTATATTTATGTAATTTGTAATCTTATTCATTTTTCAATCAGACTGTTATTGTACAGATGTCATTGTATATATACGAGGGGGGACCCAAAAATAACCGGAATTTATTTTTGTTATTTTTTATTTTTGCATTTTTATTGAACTGTATATTAGTCCCCTTCAAAGTACTGTCCATGTGCATTAATGCACTTGTCCCAACGCTTTTGCCACTGCTCAAAACAGTGCTGGAATTCTTGAGGCTGGATACTGTTCAAAGCCTTTAGCATGTTTTCTTTGACTTCATCCACATCACGGAATCGCTTTCCTTTCAGACTTCTCTTCATCCGTGGAAACAAAAAAAAAGTCCGACAGAGCAAGGTCGGGTGAGTAAGGTGGATGAGGCACAATCACCATGTTGTTGCTTGTCAAAAACTGTCAGACCGTCAAAGCTGTGTCGGCTGGAGCATTGTCGTGGTGAAGCAACCAGTTCCCATTTCTCCACATTTCGGACCGTTTTCGTCGCACACTCTCTCGTAATCTTCGTAACACATCCAGGTAAAAATGTTGGTTCACTGTTTGTCCTGGCGGAACGAACTCTTTGTGGACAATGCCATTCACATCAAAAAAACAAATCAACATTGTTTTCACATTGGATCGCACTTGACGCGCTTTCTTCGGTCGTGGTGAAGTTGGAGTTTTCCACTGGCTTGATGATTGCTTTGATTCTGGATCGTACCCGTAGCACCAAGACTCATCGCCAGTCACAATTCTTTTAAGAAATTCTGGATCGTTCTGCACTTCACTCTTCAAGTTGCGGCAAACATTCACGCGGTTTTCTCTTTGGTCATCTTCGAGCACGTGAGGAACAAATTTTGCAGACACCCATCTCATGTGCAAACCTTCAGTTAAAATTCGCTGGACCGTGCTCCATGAGATGTTCATTTCCTCAGAAAGTTGGTCAATGGTCTTTCGACGATCTTCATCAGTTGCACG